TTGTGATTAATTTTGTAAGGCGAGTGATATTCTTTTAATTCTACTTGTAATTCTACCTTAATTATACATATACCGTTATACCAGACATCGAAATCCGTATTGTTTACTTCAGAATCCGATAATTACTGCCAAATAATTAAAGGTCATCGAACATTTGAAAATATATATGTTTTAATTATTGCATAAAGCAATGAAATTCTAACGTAAAAGTGGTATCTGCATAAAAATATTTTTATGCGTATCGAAAAAATATATAATTTAGTTGAAATCAATATTCATGTCGTTACATACGATATAGTTAACGTTTTATTGCCTTTCAGTCCGATAAAATATCAACAAAAAGATATTTTATTAGTTTTCTTTTAATTTTTACTATCTAAATCGATTCCGGATCCATACCGTCGTACCGCTTTGATAACCTGCGCGACGGAAATCGACGGAATATAACGAAGACGAAGATTACCACTATTTATTTCAATAAATATGCCTCTTTAGCATAAATCTATTTTGTGTCATTTTATTTCTTGCGTCTTTTTATGAAAAAAATCATAACTCTGATAATATATACATGTATATGTTAATTTTCATAACTTTAATTAGTACAGTGACTACAGTCGTACAATAGGTGATTGGCATGTACACAAACTTAGTAGTCAAGTTTCGCAAAATCTTATTAAAACAAAATATATTATATGAAAAATAATGTTTCATTAAAGAAGCCCCACTAAGGTCCGTACGGTAAAATGGACCCAACACATTTTTTATCAAATTTCCACAAAAAGAAACTTTATCTTAGCCAAAAAATTAAAAATATATCATATCACCCACTATATCACAACCATTACGCTAGAAAACGTACATTTCACCCGACCAGTTTAAGGTTTCGTTAAGGAGGGCAGTTATAAAAATAGAAGTTGGTTTACTCCCGACGTGTAGGCCTACATTATTATCCATAACTTATTTATTTACAGACATATGTACGAAAACGTAATGACAAACATATATACAATAGTATTTAAAACCGCATGCATATCGATAGTTATATCCCTTGTACGGTCCGCCCTGTCCCACGGTCCGCCCTGTCCTACGACTACTACCCACAATTCTTCATAAACCAAATCCAACATGGCGATGCAATCATCTTCTGATAAGGAAGTGAGTTACTTTTTAACTATTTAAAGTTTCAAACCTGTTTTTTTTGTATTAAACCTTTAATTTTTATCTCAGATATATCATATTAGTTTACATGTACTTATTTATAAGGCTGGTATGTTACGAAAGTGTGTCATTTTGATTGTAAATGACGATAATCGTGATTACCAAATAATTCGGTTTTGGAGGGACCGTCTCAAAATTATGATGTCGACAAAAAGTTATTCGAAAATGTTTGCGATTTGTTTCAAAAGGCATAATTTGCATGAAACCTTATGCTGTTATTGTGTAAACATGTCTATATAATTAAGGATGCTGTTACCTCAAATTTTAATTAAACTGTATTTATATTGACAGAGTACTTTAACATGTCACTTCCCTTCACCTGTTTACCTGTAAGTAATGATTAAAATTATTAATTGTAATACATGGCCATTGTGGTTAATTACTATGCATGGCCAACGCGTTTCTAGAAAAGTGTAAGACAGCTTAGACTCCCATGCCTCTTTAGCATAAATCTATTTTGTGATGTTCAACCTAAACTAAACTATTGAACGTTGACAGAAAGGACCAAGTTTAACCCTTTACCAAGACAAAATCAAAAGGTTTAGAAAACTTATTCTTTAATGTGTAAATTATGAGTATACATGTACAGTCCTTTCTAATGATATAAAATATGAAACTGATTAATGAAAGATAACTTTGTAATTATTTATACATCTGCAACTTATCAGCCGCCATACCTTTCTATTCACAAGTTACTTGTATGTCTGATCAGCAACCTGTTACTATTAATAGATTTTATAACAATAACATACAACGTGTAGTCACATGATTCTTACAGGGAGAATCTGTTTATAATTAGATAAAATAATGAAATATAATAGGTCTCATAAGATATAAACAACCAAATAATTTAAATGTGTCATTTCAAAAATCATTCATGATTTATCAATCATAAAATAGCAACGCTTGACGCTTAAAAAAGTAAAAGTATCCCTAAATTAAATGACTGGTCCATAGGGATACATTGTTAATTCATTTTATGAAAATTGTAATGTTGCTTTTTAAGATGTCAATATCTATATATTTCATTTCATTTAGCAACGTTAATTTATCTTTGAATTTTTAAGATTATGAAAAGTAATTGTGGTCCTTAATTGTTCAGTAATTGATTTGCTTTTTTATTCAGATTTTAAGGCCTTCTCCTACCATAGATATAATATTAAACTGTTACAAATATAGTCGCCGGTTTCTACCGGCGACTAATAAACGCTACAGACTTTCAGCGTGTCTCTCCTAAACTGATGTAAACCTGTTGTACCGATTTGACATTAAAACATGGATATAGAGAGTTTAATATACGCACAGTAAAAGGTTTACATTGAAATTTGATACCTGTAGTGTACACTCAGTGTATCGCTGTAGTCTTTGTAAAAAAAAATCAACAGGGAAACTGTATTATTATTCTGACAAATACCAAAGCAATCGCGAAATTACAAGTTCGAATCTTCAAAAAACTATTTTTTTCCTAATCATATGCAGCATTAGTAGATGAATCATTTCTTTTATTTCTTGCGTCTTTTTATGAAAAAAATCATAACTCTGATAATATATACATGTATATGTTAATTTTCATAACTTTAATTAGTACAGTGACTACAGTCGTACAATAGGTGATTGGCATGTACACAAATTTAGTAGTCAAGTTTCGCAAAATCTTATTAAAACAAAATATATTATATGAAAAATAATGTTTCATTAAAGAAGCCCCACTAAGGTCCGTACGGTAAAATGGACCCAACACATTTTTTATCAAATTTCCACAAAAAGAAACTTTATCTTAGCCAAAAAATTAAAAATATATCATATCACCCACTATATCACAACCATTACGCTAGAAAACGTACATTTCACCCGACCAGTTTAAGGTTTCGTTAAGGAGGGCAGTTATAAAAATAGAAGTTGGTTTACTCCCGACGTGTAGGCCTACATTATTATCCATAACTTATTTATTTACAGACATATGTACGAAAACGTAATGACAAACATATATACAATAGTATTTAAAACCGCATGCATATCGATAGTTATATCCCTTGTACGGTCCGCCCTGTCCCACGGTCCGCCCTGTCCTACGACTACTACCCACAATTCTTCATAAACCAAATCCAACATGGCGATGCAATCATCTTCTGATAAGGAAGTGAGTTACTTTTTAACTATTTAAAGTTTCAAACCTGTTTTTTTGTATTAAACCTTTAATTTTTATCTCAGATATATCATATTAGTTTACATGTACTTATTTATAAGGCTGGTATGTTACGAAAGTGTGTCATTTTGATTGTAAATGACGATAATCGTGATTACCAAATAATTCGGTTTTGGAGGGACCGTCTCAAAATTATGATGTCGACAAAAAGTTATTCGAAAATGTTTGCGATTTGTTTCAAAAGGCATAATTTGCATGAAACCTTATGCTGTTATTGTGTAAACATGTCTATATAATTAAGGATGCTGTTACCTCAAATTTTAATTAAACTGTATTTATATTGACAGAGTACTTTAACATGTCACTTCCCTTCACCTGTTTACCTGTAAGTAATGATTAAAATTATTAATTGTAATACATGGCCATTGTGGTTAATTACTATGCATGGCCAACGCGTTTCTAGAAAAGTGTAAGACAGCTTAGACTCCCATGCTACACAAAACACCACCCAGGACTTCAGTTTCTGAAACTGTTTATACGAAATGTGGAAAACACAATGTTGGTCCTTAATTCATGCATAAAAGAGAAAAGTTATCCGTCAAGGAAGTTTTTCTCATCACTATTTTCTTAGCATATACCTGGTTAAAGCACGAGATCCTCTACATGATCATATTTGAAATTTGCTATAAGCAACATATATCATTATATATACCAGTATTACTGGAAATATAAATACTCAGCATCATGTCTTAGTCGCGCGAGGGTTATGACATTAATGAGAGATAGATAGATCATGGGTATTCGAACCTACAACATTCAGTTAAAAACTTTAAGTATTAACTCCCTATCACCGAATGTAGTTATGCAAGTGCTGTCGGTAAGGTATAGTTACATAAAATATGTATACCGTTATGTCATACTTTAAAATCCGTAAGATTCACTTCGGAATCCGACAATTACCAACAAAAGGTCATTGAATATTCAAATGTCTCGGGGTCAATATTGCCAAATAATAATCAATGTAAATGAAACAATTTAAGATTTAATATCATAAATACTGCTACTTAAAGAAAATGTAGGACAAAAGATAAACCAGGGCTTCAAGGGGGCGTAGCTAACGTTACGCACTTACGCACGTGCGTAACATTGATCCAGGAAGATAAAAATTCAAATATACTAAAAACGGTGAGAAAACTAAAGGGTATGGGTGAGGATGATGTTGGAAGGTTTAGAGGCATGATTCAGAATTTCCAATATTTATTAAATACAAAATATGCCTTCTATATCAAATAAAGAGATTTATTGTTACTACGTTAAATACACGGTAATTTAATAGACTATGATTAAAGTTTGTACCTAACTACCCTTTATGTTTACTTAAATATTTTGTCCCTTACTGCCTTAAATGATTGTTTTTGATAATATTGAAAATAACACAAATTGCATTCTCTTTAAGTATTATATATTACTTAAAGAATTACACAAATGGTGAAATACGTTTTTGTAATGTGATTTAAGTACATAGGTTTCTTTAGTGACCTTATATTTTCATATTGCATTTGTTAAACATGTACGTGATTTATAACAAAGTCCAATACATTGTACACTGATAATGCTATCAGTAAATCTATTTAGATAAAGCAACTAGGATGATTTAAAGTATTTAAAAGTGTGACTACACTTTAAATATCAACTCTGAATAAAATAACACTGTTTTACATTTAGAATTTAAACTTGTTAAACTGATTTCAATCAATATCCCTGTTCTGTTTTTGTAGTAACTAGGAAGTACAAAACGATATTGTAGAAAATGGCGGACGGAGGTATTGGATCAGATGAATTTGTCAACTTTAAATGTTGTTTATGTGAAAAGAAACATATAACAAAAGAGGCGGATATTTATTGTGTGGAATGTCAGGAATATTACTGTACACCATGTACAGACTTGCACAAATTGTTTTCTTCAATGAGCACGCATCAGTTTATAGACAAGTCAAGTTTCAACACAGTTAGCTTACAGAAATCGTTGCCAAGTTTTCCAGTTGAAAAATGTGAAGCTCATAAAACCAAGCTGCTGGATATGTATTGTGCTGATCACGATGATGTAGCATGTGCGACCTGTATAGCTATAAAACACAGGTTTGATTCTTTAATTTTTGTATTTAATTGAATTGAAATTAAAAAGTTTAGGCAGCTGCATTTTTCTATCAATGTACATTTACCTGAAACTGAATTAAAGACAATTCATATATCTGATCTTGGTATTTTACAACCTCGTTGAAAACATAAAAGCACATGATATAAGCTAATTTTCATCCAGTTATTGTTCCACTTTATATGAGATCAATGTCATTTTAATACAAAATATCTGGACCAGTATATAACAAACTAGATGCCCAAGGGCCGCTGACACATATGACCTTTAGGTATGACCTTGAGCTTCGATTTGTGCTTATTTAAAATTCTGCTAGTAATGAAAGAGTTACGCCCTGGACAAGCATTTGACTTTAAAGTATGACCTTGACCTTTGACCTTGTCACACGACTTTTGCGCGCGATACATTTTCTCATTTTTATGCATACTTGTGCCGAGTTATTTTAAAATAATCTGGACTGACGCACACATTCAAAGACGCGCCCACGCTAATACAGACACATGCACACATGCAATTACACCGAAACACCATTGCAACTATTCTGAGCTACCCACAAGCGTGTTTGACAAAATTAGGAAAAAATATCAAATGAATGCCATGTCACCTAAGTAACACAGCAAACTGTCTCAGAATTATTCTAATATCTATTTTCTCAATTTTAGACACGAATTGTTAGTAAGTCATATGATAATACATAAACCCAGTAATCTTAAAGGCGCGTCATATCTCACAATTAAAAATATGTTTCTTTTGTAGTAAGGGAAGACGTGTGTTTTATAATGTTGCAATTATAGATTGAGAACATCTGAAACAATAGTCTTTAATGTGATAATTATTTTGTAAAAAAGATAGCAAAATATAAAGAAAATTGCATTAAAATTTTCAGAACATGTCAACATATACATTCAATACCAGATGAAGTTGATGACTTATGTAAGGAGATTGATGCTGATAAGATTTTAGTAAGTATTGAGCTGATTTGCATAAAAACTAAAATTGAGGAGGCTGAGAGAGCAAAGAAATTTCTTATCAAAGAGCTCAATGTACAGAAGGAGAAGGCGACAGAGTCAATAAGACAATTCAGAAAAGAAATGGAAGTAATACTGGACACACTTGAAAAGAATACATTAAAAATTTTAGAGGAAAAGTACAAAACTGGCAAAGAGAAACTAGAGAACGAGATTAAAAACCTACATAGACATATAAATGAACTCAAACTTTCATCACAAAAAGTAATAAAGTCAGTTGGGAATAAAGCACAGGAGTTTGTCGCTGTGAAAACTTATCAGAAACAAATCATTGAAGCATATGAAGCAGAGGCAGAGTCTATGACAAATTCATCAGCTGTTAAAGTTGAATTTATTGCTGATTGGTCAATAAAGGATGCTTTGAAAGACTACAAGACATTTGGATTAATTTCAGTGAGTGATACTGAAAGTATGAGAGACAACATGTATGTTGTGAAAAGCAAGAAACAAGTCAACATCAAACATGAAAATGATAAGAGGACATGTAATGTTAATGGTTCATGTTTCACAGATGATGGACTATTATTTCTAGCTGATTATTACAACAAGACATTAAAGCTTATAGATTTGTCCTCAGAATCCATAAAAGATAAGCTAAATCTTGAAGCATCTCCATACAAAATTTGTCAAATAAGTAAAAACGACTTTGCAGTAAGTTTGAACAATAAAACCATTCAATTTGTTACAATGGGCAGCAAACTTACCAACAAACAACTGAAGCTTGATCATGACTGTTACGGACTGGCCTACAAAGACAACAAATTATTCATCTCTGATTCTCGTACAGCGCTCTACATTCATGATATGAATGGCATCCTGTTGCAAAAAATCACAAGTGATAAACAAGGCAATGCAATCTTCAAAAGTACCAGAGGTATCAGTGTTAGCAGTGATGGCAAGATGATTTATGTGGCTGATGGTAATAAAGGTTTGATTGTCCTTGACATTGAGGGAAATTACAAGACAACAATTACTGATCCTGATTTTATTAATCTATATGGAGTTTGTACAGACAAACGAGGAAACATATTTGTGTGTGGATGGGGGCAGTCTAAAATTGTACAGATCAATGAAAAGTCTGCTGTAAAACTGGGCGTACTTGGCAACGTTAATTGTGGTTTATCTTGTAGCTTTCTTTTGAAACATAACAGACTGGCAGTAACTATTGGCAACAGTGATACGATTGAGGTGTTTGATTTACTGTAAATCCAATACCGTGACACCAATCAAAATATTGATATTAAACTAAATAAAAGATATGTGGGCTATTCACACATTCTCTTATCACAAATGTTTAACAACAAAGAAAAATGTCACATTCTTTTTAATGAAAACATTTTTATGTCTTTCGTTAAATTTAAGTCCCATTGATGTTTTTTTCAAACATTCAATAATTTTGGAATATGTTCTACATAGTTTACTGTGTAATACACAGAGGACATTGAATGAATGTAAGTTTAATACTGATTTTTTTAAGTAATTTGGATATAATTATATTATGCGAGCCTTTGGCGAGCAAAACATTATTTTATCCAACAAGTTCAATAAATTTAAGAATGAACTTACATGAATGTAATATTCTTTTTATCACATACCAAAAACAAAGACCATTAATTTTAAAGTGAAAAATAACCCTTTTTATTGACGGGCCTGAAGTGTAACGCTAATATTTAGCGCTCCTTAAAGCTACAATTGTAAAGCGCAAATGACGTCACGTCAAAATATATGCATGACCGTGCAATACTATTTTTACGTAGCAGCAAAAGCGGCATGCGTATGTGATAATGAAGTTTTACTATGCTAAGATAAAGAGGATATGCTTGTATTATATTTCAATACTTATATTATGTGTTATGTATGTGCTTCTATGTGACTGTAAGGTTAAATAGTATCAAGAGTTCAATTTTGTATTCAAAATAAATATGCTTTGATTCAGACAGACAGACTTGTTCAAAATGTATGAATGATTGAGGCTTTATTAAATTGTATTCAATACCAAAAAATGTGTATCTTTGTTTAGCATCTCCAAGGAGTTATTCTGTACCTTTGTACCAAGCACCGAATAAGAAAGAGATAAGCTGAAATCTAGTATATGATTTCTAATGTGTTTAAATACAAGACTCACTGCCAAGCAGGAGAAGAATGTGGCTTGGGGCACATTTCTTAAATTCTTAGCCAAACACATCATCGGAGGAAGAATACTGTAGTCAAAACATTTTTATACCCCCAAAACAAAGTTTGGGGGATATATATGAGTCACCCGATGGTCGATCGGTCGGCCGCTTGGTCGGTCCAGCGGTCTGTTGCATTTTCCTTGTCCTGAGCATAACTTAAAGACTAATGATTGGAATTCAATACAACTTCATACAATGGCCAAGCACATTGAGAGCAAGTGCTGTGCACAAGAACCATAACTCTATCTTGACTAATTTCAGAGTTATGCCCTTTGTTACTTTTCCTTGGTCAGAGCTTAACTTGAGAACTACTGGTTGGAATTCAAAACAACTTCAGCCAATGGTCAAGCATAAGAACAGGAAGTGCAGTGCACAAGAACCATAACTCATAAGTAATTACAGAGTTATTGCTCTTTGTTACTTTTCCATTGCTTTCTTTTGTCCGGAGCATAACTTAAAGACCAATAGTTGGACTTCAATACAATTTCATACAATAGTCAAGCACATTGAGAGGAAGTGCAGTGCACAAAAACCATAACTCCATTTTGACTAATTACAGCGTTATTGCCCTTTGTTAGTTTTCCTTGTTCAGCGCATAACTTGAAAAAAAACTGGTTGGAATGCAAAACAACTTCATACAATGGTCATAAGAGGAAATGCAGTGCATAAGAAGTATAACTCTATGTAAATTTTTTACAGAGTTATCGCCATTTGTTACTTTCCCATTGCTTTTTTTGACCGGAGTATGACTTGAAGACTAATGATTGAAATTCAATACATTTTCATACAACGATTAAGCACATTGAGAAAAAGTGCACTTCACAAGACCCATAACTCAATCTTGACTAATTACAGAGTTATTGCCCTTTGTTTGTTTTCTGTGTCTGGAGCATAACTTAAAATTACTGGTTGGAATTCAAATCAACTTCATACAATGGTCAAGCACAATGAGAGAAAGTGCATTAGACAAGAACCATAATTCTGTCCTGAGTTATTGCCCTTTGTTACTTTTCCATTGCTTTTTTCTTGTCCAGAGTAAACTTGAAAACTACTTGATGGAATTCAATACAACTTCATACAATGATCAAGCACAAAGAGAAAAAGCAGTGCATAAGAACCATAACTCTTTCTAGAGTAATTATAGAGTAATTGCCCTTTATTACATTGTTGCAGAGCATAACCTTAAATCTAGTGGTGGGAATTCAATACAATTTTCATTCAATTTGGTTTCAAGCATAATTCAATACTTAGAACCATAAACACTCGTCTTGACAAATTTAAAAGTTTTTTGCCCTTGTTACTTTTTTATTGTCCAGTGCATAACTTGAATATTAAAATTCAGTTTAAACTCATACAAGTCAAGGGGGCTGGAGATTAAGTGCCAGTGCACAAGAACCATATTCTATTTGGACTTTTTTTTCCAGTGCATTAACTTGAAAAACTAGTAGCTGGTCATACAATGGCGCGCAATGACAGGAAGTGCAGTGTACAATAACCAATCATAACTACATCTTCAGGATTTGAAGAGTTATTGCCCTTTGTTCCCTTTCCTTATCGGGTGCATTGACTTTTAAAAACCCCTTAAAGTTTAAAACAATTCCAATTTCATACAATGGTCAAACTAAATGAGAAGAAGCCCCCCAGTTCCTAAAGAGTTAACCCCTTTTCCGGCCCTTTTATTAACGATTTAATTTCAAATAAAAACTTAACAAAGGTTTAAACCACAGTAAAAGGAAAAGGCAAAAAATTAACCAAGAACCCCCCAACCCCAACCCCTTTAATTTTGCCCAACAACCAAACCCCCCTCTATTCAATTCCCTTTTAAAAAAGTACCCCCTTTCCCTAGAAAAACCTTTCTAAATTTCCGAAGCCAATCTTCCCCGGAGGTATCAATCACATTAAGTGATAGTTCTAGCTTTTCTTGTACAACATATAACTCAAATATTGACAGCCAATGTCATTCAAGGGTCAAGGTCAAACTTGAATTAATTACTTAAAGTATATGATTGTTTTAGAAAGTTTTTAATTGGAATGGTATAATATTGTTTCTCTTTTTTACATCTTTTGAAATTCTGTTGTATAGCAAGCAATTATAGTGATTCACAAATGTAAAATGATGATAACTAATACTAACGAAAAGTGAGCTTTTCTCATGAAATATAACGGACAATTTGTGTAATATATGCAAATACTTGACCTATCATTCAATCCTGTAAAGTTTCTTTGAAATAGTATTAGTGGTATATGGCAAACTTTTTTCACCCTTTTTATTCAAGGGCCGTAACTCGGCCAAAAAGATGTTTAAAGCCCAAGGCAGCAGAGTTAAGGATTTAATAAATCCAATGATTTTTATAGATAATAATGCACAAAATAAGATACATTAGCACTATTTTTGCATGAAAGTGTATGTCTAATTCTGTAAGACTGCATTTCATTATTTCACTTTAATTTATATAAAGAAATCAATTTTGCCATGTGTTGGTAGTAATTTACTGGTTAGCGCCATGTCATTTTACACTTCCATTTTGATAATGAAACTACCAGGCTCACCATTGTACCATTAGCTATGCATTAAAACATCCAGTTACAAATTACAAATCAATGTCACTCCTAACTGTGCTTAAGTACAAAAATACCTGAGAAAAAATATCAAAATTTAAAAAATAAATAATGTAAATGTTTTAACCTCCAGCACACTGTTGACTTTACTCAGTGAGTACAACACTCCATTGAACAATGATGGAGGGTTATAGTTCTGATTTCTAGGCACAGTAAAACTGTAGTGAATGCCAGGGTTCTCTGATTGAATCAATACCTAATAGAGAAAAATATATCCCGTTTGACTATATTAATACAAGATACATACATAATGGTGCTTCAGACCTCCTCTTAGGACTATGAATGAAAAACATGTGCAACACAATAGCTTTTTGGACGTTCTTCCTTACATATCACCTTTAGGGGTTAATTGGTCTAATGGATTGTCAGTTATTCCCTCTACACAGAATCCAGCTCTTCTTGAGCCATAGAAAATAGTATCTGATATGACACAAGTAACGAAGTTCCAGGGCGTAGACTCAAATGTGTTTCAAATAAAGTCCAAGCGTTATATCACTATCCAATTAGGTTTCAAATTATATTCATTCTTATTTGGCTACTAGTTATTCTCAATTTTTTTCCAAAAATAATATACCGACTTAATACAATTAATTAATACAAATTATTGATTGACTTGATTCATTCAAATCTCAATTATTTCAACATAATCAATAACTGTTTAATCAAGAAAAATTACATAATTAAAAACTTACACTGTAATATAAGGTTTCTGATTGTATAAGTATATTTTTATGAATGATTTAATTATCTGCTTGGAATATCAAATCAAAACGTAAAGTACCAAATACCTTAATCTTAAACAACTATACTGGTGTACATTCATGCGATAAAACTTCCAACACTTGTCTTACCTCTAATACCAAGTCATCTTGTATAAGTTCATTTGCGACTAGTGAAGTTGTTAGGTCGTAGGTCAATAAAATTGGTCCCCTAGCTTTGTTGTACATGCCCTCTGGGTCATGTTTTCAGTTTCCGTTCAGATAATACTCATCGTGTCTGTCTAGTAAAGCCAGGTATTTGCTACGGGCAATACCCACCTCTTCTACTTCCTGACCCTTTGAGTATACCACACCCATATATGCTAAAGTCAATGCCATTTTTAGCTTAAGGGCAAGGTCAGTACAACCTTTTAGAAGGTCTTGCCCAATATGTCGCCTTGCCAAAATATGAAGATAATCCATCAATTCATTACCAAATTTTTTATGCATTGCACTTCTACTTAATGAGATCTATTTACATACGCTCGTACACAGCTTTTAATTGATATCTGTAGTTTCAGAATTATGTCTAAGACCAACTTAAAAGTGTAAAAATGAACAAAGGGCAATTACTCAAAAATAAGGCAAGACAGAGTTACAGTTCCTTTGCACTGAACGTTTACCTTAAAGATAAATCTACCTACAAAGTTTCTTGTAAATATCTCTTATAGATTTAGAGTTATGTCCCAGACAAATTTCAAAGTGAAAAAATGAACAAAGAGCAATAACTTAATAATAAGGTAATGTTGTTAAGTTTTTTTTTGCACTACACTTCTACTCAATAAGATCCACCTACCTACAAAGTTTCTTGTTGATGTCTCTAATAGTTTCAGAGTAGTACTGTCTCGGACAAGAAAAGAGGACGGACGGACGTCCGGACAAAGCGGCGACTATAATCTCTCCATTGCTCTCCCTTTGGGGAGCATAAAAATAAGCATACCTCAATGAGAAACACCTATTTACTTGCGATTGTGCATTGATTGTCATATGTGTTTGAGTAATATGCTACAATAAAGGTTTTGCAGAATAACCATGACCACCCAGCGATCATAGCATTAAAAAGAACGGTTAAGTTTAATTGAAAGAATAATTTTACTAAAATGGTTTTCGAAATCTTGTATCAGTCAATTTGGAAATCCCACGTCCCATATATACAATAAAGGTATATTCCCTCTTTCCAAAAATTATAAATTTTAAACAAATCAAAAGTGACTAACATTCAAGCCAGGGTCATACAGTGTAGTTTTTGCTTGCAACACCCTTCTTCACTAAAATTTATGTAGGATACTTTGGTAATTCCAATAACCTTAAGTCACAATTAGTCTAAATCAAACAATTGACCTCCATTTAACATCATTATGGAACAGAACTTGAATATGACGTTTTCCTTTCTTTACAGAAACATAATTTCACGGTCAAACTGTTTTGGTTTTTTGTGCTTTTTTTTCACAC